ATTAAGAAGCCACTGCGTAGTTGAGCCAAGGTACAGCAAGTGACTCTCGGGATTTATTTTTTCCGAGGCCGCAATCGGATAGCTGCCCAACAGGACCGTGGGATGGTGGTTTAGTTTTGCTTCGACAGCGGCTCTCTGATGAAAATGCTGGAAGCCTGTCATGATGAGAGAGCCATCAACGGGTAGATCCGAGGTAACAGCTTTCTTCTGGAGAGCGTTTATCGACGGCCGAATGCTGCGACTGGGTTCAGGAGCGTGGCAAACTGTGATCTCTAAGTCTTCCGCTGGTTTGGTGAAAACATTCGGAGCTACACTAGAGGACGCGCTTAAAAATTTGTCGGCCGTGCTGGTAATTTGGGCGGACGCGTGTGCTTGAAATCCTAGCATATGTTTTCTATGGCACCAGTTCTAGCAGTCAGCCACTCCATATGTACTCTGATATTCCATATCCAGCCTCTAATATGCACATCGATACCAGTCATCAGGTGTTTCTTCATTCGTTCCTTCTTGACTCCGCGTGACCACTGCATATTCATTGCAAATTGAATTCCACAACCTAACACACTACACACGTCCGATTTCGCTATGAAAGAAAATTTTGCAAGAATTTAAATGCAGGCAGACGAGGATTGATTGTATGTCTAACTGTAAGACATTCATTTTGTCCGCAATAAGTTGTGCAAAATAAAAACGTCTATTTACATGGGATATTTGCCTTCAAACTAAAAAGTAGCGGCCCAGCTTGTGTTGCACTAAAGTGTAATCCTTGAAGTTAACTCGAAATTATTTTTTCTCAATTAAACTATATTCATTTAACTGTTTTAGCTTACGATAGCTGTGTAGTGCTGCATTAGCTGACTTAAATGTAGGTAGGGCTGTGAACACCGCGTCTAAACACATTTACTTCTTTCCGGGGGGCTATAGTGAGAGGCCAGCAGGATGACGACGGAGACCAAGGAACCGCATGAGAAGCCCTTTCCGTCCTGGTATCATCAGCTCCATGCATTGAGTCGTGCCGCTGAGGACACTCGAAAGGAGGCGAATAAGATGCGACAACGTGGTCGTGCCATACGTATCCAGGCCGATGGACTTGCCAAGTAAGTTTTCATTTATAATATTTTACCTACTTACCAAAATAGCAGCAGACTCGCTTTTGTTACTTTTAGTCTGCCCTTTTTGGCACCGCACCATATTCCCTAGGTAAAACGCTAGGCAGAGTATGCGGACGTCTGTGTACCTGCTTACAATTCTAGCCCAATTAAAACCAAGCATCTACCTTCCAACTCTTTTTGCTTTACGTCATGTATTAACCCTTTCCCATTCACTGTGAGGTGGCACTGGATATTTCAAAACACTGCCTTTGTGATCGGTGATTCTGATAACTTGGTATATTGCGCAGGCAACCAATGTTAACCTAAAACGTGTCTACGTTTCAGTATTGAATGTTCAAACGGAATATAAATTTGATTTGCTACGAGCACTGTCTTCCGCCAATTACGGCGAAACAGAACTACCGTTCAGAAGAAGAAGAAGAAGATTCGATCACTGGAACAAGAATTTAATTTTCCTGGCGTTTCGGATTCTGTCGAGAATCCTTTATCATAGATAACCATATAATGGTGTGAGGTACCCGCAGATTTGGGTGATATATGCACAGATGGCGCGGTATTTATAGTTTGTAGCAGCCATCCGCATGCGCACTATAATTATCAGCTGCTGTAACCACGGCTTGGAGTCGTACTTGGCGCGGTGATGGCTTACAGTTCGCCTTCGACTCATTATCTGCCACGATTTCGTCGTGCGTATCGGAAGCGGGTTTGATAATTGCGCGACAACTATGTTCGCTGTCGTCGGAGTTGTTGCTGAGTCCGGTCTCTCCGACGTGACTGATTCTCCTGCTCAGACAATATCTCAGTACAGAGTATGGGAACGGCGAGTCTTTGGGCTTGTTGATTGACTGTGAGCTTGAGAACCATGACTCGAGCAGCTCGCGGTTCACGGAGTTGTCCCCTCTTGCGAGGATTTTGGTCTCGTATAACTTGAAAATATGACTGATTCCCCTCCAGGGAGCTGCAACCTGGGTGTTAGTGTCTTCCTTTCTCACCGCTGCTACATGCTCGGCCATTCGTGTCTGGAGTAATTTCCCGCTTTCACCGACTTATTTGCTTTGTCCACAACTGCACCAGATCCGGTAAAAGTTTCCAGCCGTTTCCTGCCGTGGCAGTGGGTCTTTCGGCTTCATGATACGGCGCCTGATGGTTGCTTCCGGCCTGTGTGCAACTCCAACTCCAAGTGGGG